GGGGGGATGGCCACGCTGCAATCCCTTCTCCTCCATTCTCCTCTCAGGATCTTGGGCACACACACACGCGCCCGGTGTGAGTTTAAGCCACTGGGTCCAGGACTCGAATTGTGGTCAACTACATGGGAGTCCAGTGACAAAGCCATTACGCTAACCGCTGGTCCCAACACTTTCTTCAGCACTTCTTGGAGAGCTGGTTTGGTGTTGGTAAATTCTTTCAGGTTTTGTTTCTGATGAGAGGTCCAACATTAGCCTTATAGAATATCCTTTGAAAGTAACTTGTCTCTCTTTTGCCAAATTTAGTACCTTGTCTCTGTGGTTTTGACCAATCTGGCTATGATGTGCCTTGGAAAAGATCTTCTTGGGTTGATTCTATGTGGGGTCCTTTGTATTTCTTGGATCTATATATTTGAGTGTGGGGTCCTTTGTATTTCTTGGATCTGTATATTTGAGTACATTTCTAGGTTTGGAAAATTTTCTTCCAGGATTTCATGGAATAGATTATCAATGCCCTTATTAGTTTCCTCACCTTCTGGTATACTAACGATCTGGATGTTTGGGTATTTAATGGTATCTAGTACCACTCGTATGTTATCCTCATTTTTTTTGTTAAAATAAAGTCATTTTGGTGTATTTTTCTAGGTCAGAGGTTCTATCTTCTACATCTGAGATTCAATCTTCTGCATGATCTAATCTGCTTTTGATATTTTTGAGGGAGGTTTTGATTTCCTGTATTACAGTCTTCATTTCTAATGATTCCATTTGATTTGATTCTTTTTTATGATATGTATAACTTCTTTCAGATCGTGCACGAATTTCCCCACCTCCTGGAACTCATTGTCTCTTTTCTCCTGCATTTTCTGGAGTTCACTGTCTCTCTTCTCTTACATTTCCGTTACGTTTGTTACTAAGAATATTCTAAATTCTTTATCTGACATTTCCATGAATTCCCTTGTATTGTCTGTGGAGTATGAGGAGTTAATCTCTTCCCTTTGAAGAGAGGTATTTTCTTGGTTTCTCATATTTCTCATGCCTCTGCCATGGATTCTGATCATCTGATGGATTATATATTTTTCCCTAGTTTTTGGAGTTAAATCTGAGTATTCAGAGAAATGCAGAAGGAGGTGACTTACAGTGTCTAAACAGTAACTATTTTCCCCCCTTTGTGCAGCTGATTCAATGGAAATTAAGAATTGAACTAACCCTAAAAGTATTCAAGTTATTTGGCTACAGAACTTGTAGACCTGTCTAGAAATTGTGTGTGGAGGCTGAGCAGAAAAATGAGAAATGTAAAAAGAAAAGAAAAAAAAAAGAAAAAAGAAAAAAAATTAAAAAAAGAAAAGACAGAAAAAATAAACAAAAGAAAAAAATTTCAAGCAAAAAAAGTTTTTAAAAAGATAAAGAGAGACAGAGAGAATAAATAGTGTGTTCTAATCTAGCTCCAGGCTAGATCTGGGGGCAGGAGGATGAAGTCTGGGTAGAAGGTCTTCAGTGGTCCTAATCCCTGAATGGGGCCACTCAGAATTCAGATATAGATGACAGCTGATTGGCTTGTCCTGGCTCCTGGCTAGATCTCTCTATATATATCTTTCTGTCTCTTCTGGTGAGTACACATGCCTTATGGCAAAAACCTAAAAACAAACCATGTAACTTTTAAATTTGTTAAACATCCATTAACCTCAGCATATTTATAAATTTAACATAAGTGAAGCATTACTTTCAGTAAAAGTGTAATTAAAAAAAATTATTGTTTGCTATAGGACATGTGTACTCACCAAAGTGAAAGAGAGAGAGAAAGGGGGAGGGGAGTGCAATATCACTTCCCAGGAGGGATGGCCACACTGTAATTCCTTCCCTGACAGTCTCCTCTTGGCATTTTGGGCATGCACACATATGTGCCTGGTGTGATTTTCAAGTCGCCAGGTCGAGGACACAAACTGTGCAGTCAACCATGTGGGAACCAGTACCTTAACCTCCATGCACCTAAGACTCTTACTGTGTCAGACACGGTACTAAACACTTCCTGTCAAGCCAGTGGGTCCGGGATTTGAATCGCAGTCAGCCATGTGGGAGTCTAACGATGCAAACACTACACCATCTGCTGGTCCCTCTTGGCCTGAATTTAAATCTTGGGTTCTCTAAAGGTTTTCCCTCCCAGAGTATTTTATTACATAATTCAATTCATACGTCATTTAGAAACAGTACAAACTGACAAACCTGAATATAGAATATTTCAATGAGTAATTAGAATTAAAATAAGGATATTATACTATGGCTTGTTGAGCATTTGCTGGAAAATGATTAGTTTATAAATAAGAATATTATAATAAATTAATAAACTATATTCCTTATCTACTCTGATAGTACATATTCTAGAAAAATATCTCTAATATTAAGTGTATTACTTAAGCCAATAAACAAAATTGAAAAATGTAGGGGGCAGCAGGTGGCATGGTGTTTAAGGTGCTGGACTCCCACAAGGCCGACCACGGTTTGAGTCCTGGACCTGGTCGCTTGAAAATCACGCTGGGCACATATGCATGCATGGTCAAAATTCCAAGAGAAGAATGGAAGAGAAGGGACTGCAGTGTGGCCATCCCCTCTAGGGGATGAATTCTCACTTTATTCTCTGATGAGCACATATGCCCTATGGAAAAACAACTTAGGAAAAAAAAAAGAAAAAGAAAAATCTAAAAGAGCTATTGGCTTTACTGTACCTTAGCTGTTTCCTTACTGCATATACTTGTTCTATTCCCTGTGATACTAATTCTTGAATCTTATGTGCGACTTGAGGATGCAGACGTGACGGTAATGCACAATTCTCATCTCTAACTGCAGTTTCCTCTTCTTCAAGAGAAGACACAGGAAAAGGGGACGGTGACAAAGGGAGGCAAGGAGTCTCTAATTCATGATATTGATGAGCTTGCTGTGTAGGTAACTGTACATACCACCTAATAAGAAAAAACATTTAAAATTATTTAAACTATTAGACAGACAGGAATCATCATTATGTTAATACTCACCAAGAGGAATATCTTTTAAGAAAAAATTAAGTATGACTATATCATTTTAAATAAAATTTAAATTCCGTCTAAGATCAGCCTTATTGAATTAAATAAAAACTTCTTTAAACCTTTATAGACTTTTAGTATGGCCCTAAAGTTGAGGTAGATGCAGGGATTTACATTGATATGAAAATGATGTATTAAATTCCATATTAAGTAAATTTTACCCTAAAATAGAGATAACACTGTAACTTACCATTTTTGAATTGTGTATTTTCCCATTCATTAAACATATGTCCTAAATTACACGTCTTTGTGGAACCTACTATCTTTCCAATAAAAGAGTGGCTATAATTCAGAGCCTGCCAAGACTGAGCTCTATGGAAGAATCTTCCCTCACAGGAGCTAAACATATTGTCCTTATAGCACTCCCAGGTCCTACTGGCCCAGTGAGCAAGAGAATCAAACTAAAGGTGAATACATATTTTGTGGTCAGCTGTGAAAGAAAGTAGATGCTAGAAAATTATCTAGTAAGATACTGTTTCAATTGATAATTTTTTTAAAGGTTTTCCCATAGGGCATATGTGCTTTCTGGAGAGATAGAGAAGCAGTCAGAAACCATTCCCTGGGGAAGACAGCCACGCCACAATACCTTCTCCTCCACTCTTCTCTTGGGATTTTGGGCACACATGCACATGTACCTGGCACGCTTTTCAAGCTGGCAGGTACAGGACTTGAACTATGTGGTGGGCCATGTGGGGATCAGCACTTTAACCACCAAGCCACCTCCTGGCCACTTAACTGATTTTTTTTTTTTTGGAGAGGTTTTTTGCTATAGGGCGCGTGCACTTGCCAAAAAACAGAGAAAGACAGAGAGATGGAAAGCGAGAAATCACCCCCCAGGGGGGATGGCCACGCCACAATCCCTTCCCCTCCATTCTCCTCTTGGGATCTTGGGCATGCACGCACATGCGCCCAGCGTGAGTTTAAGCCACTGGGTCTAGGACTTGAATCGCGGTCTACTACATGGGAGTCTAGCGACATAGTCATTATGCCAACTGCTGGTCCCTTAATTGACATTTTTATACAAAATTCTTACAATAATTGATATTGCATAAAATCAAGTCTACTTAAAATTATGCACAATTCTACAAACTGGAAAATCTAATTATTGATGAAATTCATTTTTCATATACCTAATTTTTTTTAAGGTCTTTGCAACAAGGCACATGTACTCACTGGAGAGAGATAGAGACAGTGAGTGGAAAAGTGAGAAATTGTTCTCCAGGAGGGATGGCCACACCACAATCCCTTCTCCATTCTCCTCCTGGGATTTTGGGCAAGGATGCACATAAGTATGATTTTTAAGCCACCAGGTCCAAGACTCGAACCGTGTCCAGACATGTGGGAGACCAGCGCCTTAACCACACATCACCTGCTGGCTCCTCCCTTTTTTATTTTGCTATAGGAAACATGTGCTCTCCAGAGAGAGAGAGAGAGAAAGGGAGAGAAAGGGAGAAAGCACACCCCCAGAGGGGATGATCATGCCACGATCCCTTCCCAACTCAACTCTCAGGATTTTGAACTTACACTCACATGCACCAGGCATGTTTTTCAAGTCACCAAGTCCAGACTTGAATTGTGAAGTCAGCTATGTGTGATCTAACTGCCTTAACCACCATGCCACCTAGCTGGCCCATATACCTATATTTTTAAAAAAGATTATTCAAAAACTGTATTCCATACACTTAGCCCCATTATAATGGGTCATCAAAAAAGTCATAACATTGGGCCCACCAGGTGGCATATTGGTTAAGGTGCTGAACTCCCACACAGTTGTTGACTGCGGTTCAAGCCCTGGACCCAGGGGCTTAAAACTCAGGGTGGGCACGTGTGCATGCATGCCTAAAATCACAAGAGGAGAATAGAGGAGAAGGGACTGTGGCGTGGCTATCCTCTCTTAGGCAGTGAATTCTCGCTTTCTATCTCTCTGTCTCTCCAGTGAGCACATGTGCCCTATAGCAAAACTCTCTTAAAAAAAAAAAAAAGGAACCCAGCAATTAC